ACACGCAAAATGAGGTACTTCATCATAGACTCTCGAAACTGCCTTAATAATGCTTGCATGCCTATCAGAAACGATACACATCTCTAATCTTTGACCGAATGCATCTCTGAATTGCTCAAAAAACCACCTCCAAGATGCATCATTCTCTGAATCAACAATGGCATAAGCAAGTGGCAGTATACTCCCTGCACCATGTACAATTTGTTTAATACAATTTTAATACATTTTTACTGCAATTATAATTCATTTTTAATTCATAGTTCAGAAATTCAATATAGAAAATACTAGTATCATATTCGAAAGTCTCACCTGCTGCATCTAAGGTATTAGCGGTTAGTAGTGTCCCTTTGTATGCTCCTTTTAAGAAAGTTCCATCAACAACTACAATTGGTCTACAATATTCCCATCCTTTTATCGAGGTGAACAAAGCTACAAACGCATATAGAAAACGGTCATCCTCTGATTTGTGCAATCTTATATGGGAACCAGGGTAAGTTGCCTCTAGTATGTGAAAGTAGCTTGGCAACTTTGCATATGATTGAATTGGATCACCCCGGACTAATTCAAGAGCTGCTTCTTTAGCTCTCCATGCTTGCATATATGTGAGTCGCACACCATATTCAGCTAACATGTCACGTTGTATATCTTTTGGTGTGTAAATAACATCTGGTTCAGCACATTTACCGACAATAATACTCCCAACAACACTCTTAGTTGCTTGCCTTTCCGATAATGAATTATGTAGCAACAAACATGTGTGTTCACTTTCAAATTCTCTAATCTTGAACATTTGAGATTTGTTCAAGCTTGAAGCTCGTAAACTCCAACTACAGTTTTCACCTAAGCACTGTATCGAATAGCTGTTGAAAAAAAATTAATATACAATCAATAATTTAAAGTGACTTGAATTTAGGTCTTACCTGATTGAGCTTGATCTTGTTGTCTTGAATTGAAAATGCTTAAGAATGGAATGTCTTTTTAGTGCACTGGTGAGGACATATTTATTCTTATACACTTGATCTTTCTCAAATAAAGAGTGATTGGGATTAACAATGATGCCTGGTGCTAATTCTTCTAGCTCATCAACTTCCTCACATGATCCAAAGCCAATTAACCCTATTGCTTCACCAATACCATTAAATGTATTAGAGAAGTATGAATTGTGTATAACCCTCATATCTTCTGAAGTGTCTGAACATAATAGTGGAATGAGTGTAGAATTAGTCTCCAAGTTGACTGGTTCAGTTGTTGTGACACACAAAGGGTATCTTGCCATATCTCGATGTTCCTTTTTGGTTTCAACATATACTTTTACCCCCATATCATTATGAATTTGAATTGGAGGAGACCTTTCATCAATTTTATATCTGATTTCAACTTTACTTGTTGATGTGTCTATTGACAATTGAGTAGCAATTATAGAAACGAGGGTGGCAAAGTTTGATTCTGTATTTATCAACACACCATCTGCCACGTAATTAGTATATTTGTTGCTAGGATCCCATCGTCCATTGAAGTAAAGCAGCACAGCCAGATTAGTTTTTTTTTTTTTCTGCACATTATTAAAAAGTGTGCAGATTAGTCTATTTTGCATTGCTTATGCAATGAATTCTCAGGTTAGCCTTTACAACTGTATCTAATTCAATTATTGTTCAGTTCAGCAAATGTACAATGTCAATGTTTCTGGGAGATATTAATACTATTATATAAAAGTCTATGGGGGAGTAATACATCCTTCCAACACACAAAACTCAAACTGGTGTGATAAGCAAAAAGAAAATGGAAGCCACAAAGATGAGCAGCAAGAAAACAAAAGATAAGTTAACAGTTAAAGTGCCAGAAGCCAAACTCATACCACATA